AAAAAAAAAAAAGAATATAACTTCACACGTATAACTTACAAAATCAGTTTTTGGCTATATACATTTAGCATACCAGTAAACCCATACAAAACCAGCTTAAATAACTAAATTAAAATTATGCGACAATAATTACTAGTATTTCAACGGTACGTAATCTGTTACAACGAAGTTGACCAGCAGAAAAAAAGTAAGAAAAAGTAAAAGAAGAACGAAGAGAAATATGACTGCAAAACATATTCTTTCTTTGTTTATGAAAAATTAGACAATATTTGGTCATTTTCCAGTAACGCAGTACAATTATTTCGGATAATTTAGAATGACCACAAACCTGTGCGTTAGCATGAAAAAAAAAAAAAAAACTAATGACTTCGCCAAAACTGCCTGCTTCAACGGAACTAGTTCATAAATCATATGGTTATGAAAGAAAACAGAAAGCAAAAATAATGACACTTTGAAGAGGTAAAAAAGTTTGAAGTTAAAAATTCAAGTTGAACAAGAAATGATATTGGCCTGCTCTGTAACCCATTCAATTAGCACAATAAATGTCGAGTCGCCATCATACTGAAATGGTTCAGAGTAATGAATAGTCTTCATAGTTTGTAGTTTAGCTAACCGGAACCGTTATGCTTGAAGCGGGTTGTTGTTTAAGAAATTCCTCTCTGTAATAACAACCGCTGCCGTATCGTCGGAAGAAATTTATTGCAAAACGATACGGTCAATCTAAATGGTCGATACAGGTGCAACTGTGTCTGATAAGTGGAAAACGCCAAGTGGACTGATGATGTTTGTTTGGTGGTTGGTTTTGCTTATGGTTTTAGAGATCTGTTCAACCGTTTAGTAATATTGAAACGTTTGGTTGCAACAGTTGTTATTTTCCTTATCCTCCTCTTGTCACTACTGTTGAGACTGTTCTGCTGAGCGATTAACTCTTAGCAGCAACTACAGAGGTATTGGCAAGACATTAAAGTGTTATTCAAGCGACAATTGTTTAACCAACCAGTAACGGCAAAAAAATTTTGCATGAAGAATTTCGGAATTCAAAAGAATTGGATTTTTTGTCGTACTATTGCTGGAGTCATAGTATTACTGGTTACAAATTTCGAGATGTAGCAGTAATGAAGACGGTTGAAGAATTTGGGTGGAGCAAATAAAGGTAAAATAGTGTGTGATGCGTTTTCAGTGGTTAGTGAAAAAAAAAGAATGATGGATAGAAAACGAAGGCAGTTATCAAAATAAAATATAATTTTTGATATGATTTTACACAAACAAAAGTCCATTGTCCAACCAAGTGGAACTGCTGCACGTCATATCTACCTGAAGATGGAAAACATGACAGATAAAGTCCAGAGTGCGTGTGATCTTTGATCGTGTCAGAAACGTGTGATAAGTGCAGGAAGTCACAAATCTGCAAAATCTAAGGTTACTTTTCCAGTGATCAACGGAACATTTCTATTGCTACAGCAGCAACTTTATTCTGTTTAGCAGGTATTGGCCTCTGGAAAGCACGGTCCATGTCAGTCACCATCGGTTCCATTTCTGCGCTGTCGCTACGAAACATCAATAAACAACAGCAAGATTGGGAGCACACGTTTCACGATTGTTTCAGTACTGTTCATCCTAACTGCGAAAGAAAATTATGAAGCAGTTAGGACAGATACGCGTGAAATTTTATTAAAGTTTTATTTGTGACCAATTTGTGTCATATTGGTAGCCGGATGAAAAGTATAACCAAAATTCCAATTTGTGGTTGCTGAACCTAAATTGATGATTGGGTAAATGTCTAATAACGGCTATTAAAATCGGCTTTTCTGATGAGAAAAAAAAAGACGTTGAGGTGCTTTAGCCAGCAATAACAGCAATACATCGGTCTCCGACCTCCTTCTACTTGGATGGGCTCCTTGCGTTGTTGGATAAGTTTACTGCTTTAATATAAATCATTATTTTTCAAAAAAAGTTACTGTGGAGATGAATAGCTGTGACACTAGAATAGAGGTTAGAATTTTTAAGCTTCTAAAGTTGTGGGAGTTTTGAATCAAAAAATCAGGGGGAGAAGAACGCCATTATGTTCTGAATGGTTTTTTTTTTTGACTGCAGATTTAAAAATTGGTCTGTACTGTTTTACTTTTATCAGTTCATAAGTTTTAGTAATTTCACTTGGAAAAGCTGCATCTTTATTTCCTGATAAAAACTCTTCCTACAGGCGTCTAGTGTGGAATCGAAAGTTAACAATTAGAATTGTTATTAATCAGACTTTAGCATCTTTACTTTAGCAACTTTTTTTTTTCTTCAATTTAGCAGCCCATCTCTTTCATCAGGAAAGAAACACTTTTTTTTCAAAAATTGCAATTATTCGATTGACAAACACGGTATTACGGTTAACAACTCTTCACAAGCACAGGGGGGGTGCTTTTTTTTATTTGTCCCAAGCCTTCCAATGCCGGAATTGCTCTGAACTTCAGTACAAAAAATTCTATAAAATTCTTCTCAGCAATTTCGACAGAATTGCTTACAGATGTTGATTATTTGTAAAGTACTGGCTTTATTATTATTATTATCAAAAAACTGTTCTGTGATAAGGCTGCTTTGGATGGACGCTGTATAAATGTTATTCGCTAGTTTAGAGCAAAAAAAAAGTCATGCCTTCTTTTGAACTGCCTATAGTAGATTTATGTCTTGCTTGAACGACTGTCACGTACTACGATCAGTTTGAGAGATCGAAATGAGCAAAAAGTTTTGTAAAAGTTTTATGTCAGATCAATACAACTTTTTTTTTTTTTCAAATCATACGACGCCTCTTTCCCTACATGTTTAATGCATGCCGAACGTCAAGTTTGTTCAGCAAAACCCAACATCAGTTCTGTAGTGTGGTTTTCAACAAAAGTTTAGAGGAATGGTTAACTGCATTGGAACTGCTCTGGCAAGATGTGTTTACAAAAATTATTTCCCAGGTTTTTTGTGCCGTCAAATGAACAGTTTTTATACTAAAATAATTGTAAAATTATCAGGTTTATTTTCAGTTTTACTTGAAATTGTAAAAAAAAAAAAAAGTTGCATTCAGTTTTTTCCAATTATACACAAAAATTCTTTTACAATTAACTTTTTTTTTTTTCTTAACGTCTTTGCTGTTTTGTATGACGATAACATTCAATAAACTTTGTGTTCCAGTTACAAATTGAATCGAACTATAGTCAATGGTGCTTGACTGACAAGAATTAAGGAAGGGAAATGCAGTTAGACCACGTTATTTGGTTAGAAGGAATCTGTGGGATCATTTTGAGATCACCTATAAATTTTAGTCGATGAAAATTACATCGCCAAGCTGATCTCAGTTTTCTTCTTCACCTCAATTACTCTGCATTTGACAGTATTATATGTATAAACACATATATTAGACGGTAAATGATGAGAACTGTTGAAAAGTTTATGAAAAAAGCAATATTAAGTTGAATGCGTTTAAAAATACCTGGCTCTGCTGTTCAATAACCTAAATGTGTTCCAAGAAGAACATCTAGTTTTTCTATTTATAGAATACCTTCTATAAAGGTCGTTTTTTGTTACTTTTTACATGAGATATTCCTCTTGAACACTAGCCCAATCTTCCAACATTTATACAATTACGAACTGTATGTCTATTATGAAAAATTTAAGTTACAACTCAGTTTACGAACTGAGATGGACGAAACTGGATGTCCGTCTTAGCTGTACAAAGCCGAGAACATTGGTCATATTTTTTGTCGCTTCGGTTTACAGCATTGTCATGAAGACAGCTGATAACAGAAAAAGTCCACATACAAACAGCTTTGGTAAAATTTGAACTTGTACAACTAATCTTTGAACTTCTTAATGAACTGGCAGTTTGATGACGAACAAAAATCTGCAATATCAGTGTTCAAAGCAGTTCC